CATTCCTGGAATTGTGCCCATGCAGGTGAGACCCAAGGGAGACGTGGCCAGGCCCAGTCCCGGGAGTGACTTGACCCATCGTTTGCACATGCAGGACTCTGTGCACAGTGCATGACAATGGCTTTTAGATTTGTTCTCATGTTTAAGTTTTGGCCAGTTGAGTCCTTTCCTCTTTCTCACCCTGTTCCATCCACTCTCTGGGACCCTGGTGCTGCTGTAGAACCTCTGTAGAACATTCATGTTAGGTTGGTGTGAAAGTACTTTCAATGGCAAAACCCACAATTAATTTTGCATCAATCTCACGGGAACCCAGTTTGAAAGCCAAGCAATATTCACAGGAAGCCAGTTTGGAAGCCCCTGGGATAGACGGAGTTTCAGCCTTGGCTGGGTGGAAAGCGAGCATTGGCAGGGCGTCTCATCGTCAGTGTGGGGAGGAGGCCAACACGTGGCAGAGGCGGCTGTGGGCTTCACCGCGTGCCCCACTGCAGGCCGAGAGCTCCACCCAGGCAGCACCAACTCCACACTGTTCTCCGACCTGTCGCTTTGCTGCATGGTCACAGTTGGGCAGGGCAGCATGTGTCATGAATTCCTTGCAAGGAGGGTCTGAGACCAGGGTTGGGTGCAGGTAGTTTGTCTGGGAAGTGGTTACTGAAGCAGGTGTGAAGGAAGGAGCAGGGAGAGTGAGATAGGAAGGTGACAGGCAGGTCTCTCAAAGCTGTTCTGCTGAAGCCAGGACGCTGACAAGTGTGGGGATGCTCCCAGGCACAGCCCTCTGCAGGCAGGCCCCAGGGCTCCTGTCCCACATTGGTCAAGAGTTGCCCTGAGGACATACATAACTCGGGGTTGGGCAGGCTCCCCTCTCTTGGAGAAGGCCTGAGCTGAGGGTGGATAGACAGGATGGTGCTGTGGGAGAGCCTGTCAGTGGGGCCAGGTGCAGCTGAAATCAGAGGGGGCCGAGAGTGCCAACAGCATCTGCTACAGAATTCTCATCCCCATTTTGCATAACTGAGGCCCAGAGAGGTGCAGACGGGAGTGGCCTGGACCCAGAGAGCTGTGACTGAAGGCACAGCAGGGCCTGGAGGGCAATGTCTCTGTCAGCACAGGCTCCTTGCCCCAGTCCAGCTCACCAAGTCCTGCTGCCCTCCTGCAGCCTTAGAGAGGGAGGAGGAGGTGCACCCACGTGAAAGTAGCCTGTGCTAGGCTTTCAGAATCCCCAGTTTGCAAATTAATTGCTCCTTCCTTTCTGGTATAGCCAAGGTTCACAATTTAAAGTCAGATGTGGATTCAGATTCTAGCTCCACCACTTATTGACTGTAACCTGGGACTAGTTACTTAATCTCACTGTGCTTCAGTTTTTCCATGGAAAAGATGGGGATCATGTTATCTCCTTACAGGTGGCTGTGAGGATGATGATAAGCTCTACAAAGTGCTTAGTACAGAGCCAGGCACCTGTTAAAGGTAGCTAACATCTTCCAATCCTGGCCCAGTGGAGGGGAAGATGAGCTTAGAGACGTTGGGAAGCATCTGGCGAGGCAGGAGGAATCAGAGAGGAAACCATTCCTGGGCCTTCCAGCTCTGAACACCAGAGCAGACAAGAACATCCTCTGCAAGGAGGCTTCCCATGGATCACACATGTCCCAGTGGCATGTCACATCCCAGACATGCCACTGGGAAAGTCCTGGGTGCCTACCGACTCCTTCAGAAATGTCAGTTCCTGTCCCATGCCCTTAATATTTCCCACGACATAAAGGCGATCCGTGGCACCTGCTTTCCTGGGCTCCAAAACCGGCTGCCCTCCTGACACTGAGCAGGATCTCCAACTCTTACAGATCCCTTCCCCTGAAGTCTTTGAAGAGCTGATCAAGTTTTCCTTCCACACTAACGTGCTTGAGGACAACATCGGCTACTTGAGGTTCGACATGTTTGGGGATGGTGAGCTGCTCACCCAGGTCTCCACGCTGCTGGTGGAGCACATCTGGAAGAAGATCATGCACACGGATGCCATGATCCTCGACATGAGGTCAGTGGCCAGGGCTCGCTGCTTCCCAGCCGTGCCGCAGGACCACCAGGGGGCGATCAAAGCTATGGGTCATTGCAGGGAGCAATAAGGACCCTGCAAGACGGCAGAGCACCTGAGGGAGCCGGCCTCCTGCCTATCAGGGCTCCAGCCAGCTAGCCCAGGGGTTCTGGTTTCATTGCAGGTGGGGCCCAGCACTAGCAGTTTTTGCAAGCTTCTCCAATGATTCCAAGGTACATTCCAGGTTGAGAACTGCCCCCAAGTTTGCCTGGTCATGGGATTCAGTGAGGAGGAGAGGAAGGAGATATTAAAAACACTGATTCTTGGGCCCCACTCCACCCTTACTGAGTCAGAAACTCCAGTGAACAGGCCCAATAATCTGTATTTGACAGGCATCTCAGGTGATTCTGATGGTCAGTGGCGTGTGGGACCCCACTGGTCCCACCAGGTCCCACACCTGGGAGTGCACCTCACATCATACAATTTCAACTCTTGACAACCCCAGTCACATGAATCGTACAGGCAGAATTTGGAAATCACACAGGGAGAATTTGGAAATTAATCACTACTGTGATCAAAAGAATTATTTGCATCACCAAATGATTGTCGGAAGGATGTCTTCAGCTAGCCACGTCCCCTTTGTTTCTGTAAAAATGTGCCTCATATGTCATGAGTTCACATCATAGACCAGGGGTAGAAGGTGGAATGAGCACCCTCAGGCAGTGGCCAGGCCCGGCATCCTGTAACTCCAGGGTCCATTGGTGGATGTGCCCTAGCACCCTCTACGGGCAGGCTGCCCTCCTTAGACGGGACAGTCCCACTCTCCCCTGTTGGTTGAAGGAGGTGGCAGAGAGTGACAGGGCAGAGGCATTCACCCAGTTCTAGTTCTCTGGCCCTCAGAGCTCACTCACATGCTTCTAAGCAGTCACTAGGTGGCTCTCAGTCCTTCACAGGCTGCTTTTCCTCCCTGGGAGATAAAACAGTCACCCTGGCTCTGGTTGTATGCATGTTCACAGCCTGAGCTTGAGGCTCCTGTGGTCTTTCTGATCATTTTATTCTCTAGAAGTTCTGTTGAGTATCCAAATGATACTCATGCTAAGTCCCTTTCTTCTGAAATGCTGTTTACACTTTGTAAAGAGGAGATGGCCCCAGCCTGCAAGAGCACGTTGCTTAAAGACACTTCCACCCCTGAGGTTTGTTTGGAGGTTCAGACACTGACATCACAGACCCCAAACCCAGCCAGGCCATCCCAGACCATCAACTGGATGAGGCTCCTTGACATATCACTAGCCCAGTGGGGAGATAGGGGCCCGATGAGGACACAGTGGGACAAATCTAAATGGCCTGAGAGAAATCCGGGCTTCCTCACTCCCAGTGCAGTTCCACAAGCCTGAAGACTTCAACACACCAATTGCCCTGTTAAGACACCTGAACTAAGACAGTGGTAGGTGTCATAAAACTGTCACAGAATGCAACTAGGAAGAACAATGTTTCCCAAAACGTGTTCCACTCATAGGCAGATGTGGGTGCAGGGGAGCAGTCCATGGTCAATAAATGGGGAAAATTTATTTTCTGACCGCAGGACTTGTCAGGGCCTTTAATATATTAACATATATTAATTATATAGCAGAAGGAAAGGATATGGTATTCTGTATTTTCTAAAGATATTTGAAAACATATCCCAAGAGACCAGAACTCTTGGAAATACTCTGGGAAATGCCAACCTACGAAATCCTTCTTCCAAGAATTAGAACCCTCCATGGGACAAAGATCCCGGCCTCCGCAAGGGGCACAAAGGGACTCACTGTGAGTTCAGCCCCTGAACAGCCTCCACTTCCCATCCCTCAGGTTCAACATCGGTGGCCCCACATCCTCCATCCCCATCTTGTGCTCCTACTTCTTTGACGAAGGCCCTCCGGTTCTGCTGGACAAGATCTACAGCCGGCCTGATGACTCCATCAATGAACTCTGGACACATGCCCAGGTCGTAGGTATGTGAAGAAGCCTTCCCCTTCCTGCCGTCATTCTAGAAGCTTCTGGGAAACCAGGGAAAGACAGCTTGGGTAAGGTAAAAGTCATAGTAAGTGGAATGTAAGGCTCTGTCCTAGTCCAAGCACTAGATGCTCATGATCCTGAATCCCTGCAAAGCATGTATCACTACCCACGTTTTCTAAGGGAAAAAAAGTGATGATTGACTAGGTCAAGTATCTTTTCTAGGGTCACGCAGCTAATAAGTGGAAGCCAAAATGTGAATATTAGTTTGTCCAATACCAACATTTCCCCCAGTCTTAGCACCATAATCACCAGCCTGCAGGATATGTGCATAACTTGAAGGATTCTCCTCACCCCTCACCAAACCCAGCGGGCACTTGTTGTGCTCACCATACTTGAACTCTCAGCCGCAGTGCCACACACTTACCTGGAAAGGTCCTGATGCTGATGGGGCTTCTGTTCCCTGCTGTGGACCCAGAGCAGTGGCTACAGGGGCAAAGTCAGCCCTGAGCTTTACAGAACTATGACTCTCAAATCCCCATTCCAGGGTGGATGGCCTCCATCTATCTTCCCTGCCCAGTGTGTGAAACCAAGGAACCTGTGCTCCTGTCCAACAAGAAGGGACTGCAGAGACCAATGAGGCTGTGCCTGTGACCGGAGGAACACTCCACCATTTTCACGTCCAGGCTTCTGTAATGCACAGGCATTTAGCTGTAGCTTCTAGGGCGTACATACAATAATATTACAAAATGTAAATACAAATCAGAACCAGGTGAATTTTAAATTCAAATCAATCTTCAAGACTGGAAGTTAAAGATAGACTCAGTTCTATAGACCGTGAGATCCCAGGATTACAAGGTCCAATATGAGAGCCACAAGCCACCTGCGGCCACCAAGTATTTGAAATGTAACTCTCCCAAGTTGTGATGGGCTGGAGGTGTAAAGAGCATTCCAGATTTTGAAGACATTATGGAAAAAAGAAAAAAACATACCTCATTCATATTTTATTTAATTATATTTTGAAATGAATGGATTTTGGATACATTGGCTTAAACAAAACATGATTAAAATGAATGCCATGGAATCCTTTTGCTTGCTTAACACGGCTACTAGGGAACCTAAAATGACATCTATGGCTGGCATTCTGGCTCACGTTACATTCTTGTCGGACAGCGCTGTCCTGGAGGATTGTTCTTATGACATCACAAATTGGCTTTTCTGAGTCCAGCGTAACGAGGAGGTCCGGTCAGTTGGGGTGTTCTCATTATTCCTGAAGAGAGAGCACACGGCTTCCTAGTCCGGACATTATGTGCATGATCCTGAATCCCTGCAAAGCCGATGTCACTATGCCCATTTTCTAGAGGGAAAAAAAAAGCAGGGGATTGACTAGGTCAGGTATTGACTAGATCAAACCTTTCCTATTACCTGGCATAAAAGAGCCACTGTTGGGAGTTGTCGAGCACTGAAATCCTTGTGACTGGGTATGCATGCTTGTTCCCATGTTATGGATGCAGAAATCAAGGTTCAGAGGAGCCAAGTGGCTTGCCAGTAGACACAAGGACACAGACCTAAAGCCCAGGGCCTCCTCCCTCACTGCAGGTCCAGGCAGGATAGAGAAGTCAGGTGCTCCAGGGTCCTGGGCCGATCCCCATCCTGAAGGGCCTTCTGTCTTCCAGGTGAACGCTACGGCTCCAAGAAGAGCATGGTCATTCTGACCAGCAGTGTGACGGCTGGCACGGCGGAAGAGTTCACCTACATCATGAAGAGGCTGGGCCGAGCCCTGGTCATTGGGGAGGTGACCAGCGGGGGCTGCCAGCCACCGCAGACCTACCACGTGGATGACACTAACCTCTACCTCACTATCCCCACTGCCCGTTCTGTGGGGGCCTCGGATGGCAGCTCCTGGGAAGGGGTGGGGGTGACACCCCATGTGGTTGTCCCTGCAGAAGAGGCTCTCACCAAGGCCAAGGAGATGCTCCAGCAAAACCAGCTGAGGGTGAAGCGGAGTCCAGGCCTACAGAGCCACCTGTAGAGAGGGGCCCCATAGGCAGAGCCCTAGGGCAGACGGAGCCTCTGGGCCACACACCAAGGGCACTCCCAAAGATGGCCTGGCCTGAGGTTCCCAGGGGAAGCAAAGGGGCCTGCTGAGCTCCGGTTATGCTAGAACTGGATGTGTATACACACACACACACACACACACACACACACACACACACACATGTATATACACACATATATACCTATATATATATATATATATGCCTTTCCAATAACCCCCTAAATTTTAACAAAGTTTCCTTCTAAGTGGTAGAATTTGGGTTGGTATTTTTACCTTTCTTCTTCATAGTTTGCTCTTTTCCTTAAATACTCATAATGTGCAAATATTATTATTTTCAGATGCAGCTGTCCTTATTCCAAAATGTAAAATAAAGATGATAAAACAAATTACATAACTGAGCCATGGGTAATGACCCATGACTTGGCGCTCATTAGTGGTTGTTAAATCTCCTTTTTCCGTGGGTTTTTCTTTCACATCATTTGGGTCTTCCGGATCTACCCTGCTGGCTTCTATGGACCACTGATTTGTTTGAGATGTGGTGCTAGATGCTGTGGGGTCAGCAGGTAGCAAAGATCCTATGGGTCTTAAATAGGGAAACGGCTGGCGCAGCCCTTCTGCTGGTGATGTACATACGCTGGCTACGTCTCTTCTGAGCCTCACGCCGGCTGCGTGGCCAGTCACTCTCATCAACCCAGAGCCAGCTGAGACGCAGGTGAGCTCTGCAACTCACCCAGGGTCACACATCCAGCACGGTGGACCTGTGTTCTCCTTTGGCCACCCAGATTTGCAGCACCTTTGGATGTTCAGAGAAGCACTGCCTATGGGAATCCATAGGAAACAGTGACATCAGCCCCGCCTGGGTGGAAAATCAGCCCAGCCACTTCCCAGCTAAGTGGTTTTGAGCAATTTGCTTCACCTCTCTGGGCCTCAGTTTCTTCATCTGTTCAATGGGAGAAATAATACTGCATTTGGGGTTGTAACAGTGAAGAGAGTTAATCCAGTGCCCAGCCAATGTTAGCTGTCATAATTTCTCCACCACAAAGCTGAACACCCCGGAAGCCCACTTTTCCAGCCCTTCTGGCAGTAGGGCATGGGCGTGTGGCCCTGCCTTGGTCATCCAGAGGCTCCTGTGCAAGACGTTTAATCTGGAGCAAGTGGCCAGGGAGCCTGGGCAGTGGCCATCTATTAGAAACCTAATGTACAGGGACAGCAGCAGCATTCTCAAGAGGTGCTTCTGGGCTTCCTAGTGTGACTTTGGCTGTGGTCCTGACGGAGTGACCCATTGTCCCTACCCACTGCCCAGACAAGTCCCCCAGCCCACCCATCCAGGACTAGGCACCATCCTGGATCCTTCATGACATCCCTGCCTGCTTCCATCCACCAAAGACTTCGTTTTTCTTTAATGAACAGCACAATCTGGTGTAGCAGGTTAAAGGGTAGGTACAATCTGAACCCATCTCTGTCCAGTCCCAAAGATCCTTCTGTTTCCACCACATCATGAAGAGGCACTGGGCCTGATCTGGAAAGGGGGTTTGAGACAGAGAGGAGCGGAAGTCCTCTGCATAGCAAAGCACAAGCTCAGCCTTCCTAAATGCAAGGCTTCCTGCACTGTTACCTGCTTGCAGGCACAAGACTGGAGAAAAAGGAAAAGAAAAACAAAATCCTATCAGCCCTCTTTTCTGGTGGGAGACCCAGATGGCCGACAGCTGCCTAGAAGTCTCTTTTTAGACGAGTCCTGGACCCCTTCAACTCTCTATGCCCTGGTCTGAGCTCATGGTCTGCACCTGCCCAACACTGCTTGCCTCCAGCTCACATCTTGCACACAGCCACAGCTCCCTCCAGACACTCAGACTCCCTCCTTTCTGCCCCCCACATCTCTCACCCAGCGTCTACCAATGATCAGTACCCAAGGTAAATTAATACCTGAGTTAACATCGCTCTGCTCTGCACCCAGCGTGCCGTCTTCTTTCCCTCATCTTAGGGTTCAGCTTTGTGCCTAAGTCTCTGACACAGCCTCCTGCCCCATCTCTGTGCCCTGGCCTGCAGCTAGGGGCTCATCTTCACTGGAAGGGCATTGTTAGGTGATGAAGACACTCCTGGAAGGTTGTATTTATCTGTCCTTCTTGCAGATGTGGTGGAGAGGTAAGTCACCCAGGACCAAGCAGGGGTTGGCATCCAGGGGTGCTGGAGTGCTCCCAGGAGTCAGCTGAGCCCTGCTGTGACAGCATGTCACATGGATTATAAAGGCCCTGGCAGGGACTCAAAGCTGGCTCTCTGGGGCAAGACAGGCTTAGGAGCTTCCCTATTGTTCACCATCAAAGCCCAGGCCACACTCTGGGCAGCCAAGCCACAGGGTCATTGGGTGAAGAAAGGAACTCATGATATACTGGGCCCATCTCTTCCTGCCTTTCTGTCCCCTCCAGGAGCAGATTTTGAGGATGCCAGGCCAGCCACAGGGCAAGTGGCGGAAACAGAGCGGTCTCAGACCTGTTACCCAGCACCAGAGATGACCTGTGGACCAGATCTTAGAGCAGGGGTAGGGCATGGGCACAGTCCACTCAAGGGCATCTTTGCAGTCTCACCAGAAACTGACAGCACAGAGCTGGGGAGCAGGATGGGGATGGTGACTCTGGGTGCTCGGGGCTCATGTCCAGGTGCTCTTGGTCAGCAACAAGCCATGCCTCTGCCAGGCTCTGTAAGGAGAGGATGGAAAAGATGACCTTCACCTCCAAGTCCTTGCTGGAGAAGTGGTGACCCCCTCCAGGGAAGGAAGGACCAGGGAGTACTGCAGTGATATGCTTCATCCAAAGGGAATGCGAAGGGACCAGGTGGGGACCCCCGCAGGCCTCCTGCTTTCAGGCTGGGCTGAAGCACTGCAGGAGGAGCCTATCTCTTCTTCTTCTCTCTCACCCTCCTCTTCCTGCATCCCTGTGTCTGCCCCGCACAGGCCCACACAGTAGAAGGCTCTGACTGTGCTAGAGGAACCTGGCTACCCACACAGCTGCGATGCAGTGAGACCATGTGACTCAGAAAAAAAAAGCAATGCAGCCAGGTCACACTCTGGGCCAGGAAACCGGCCTCCAAGGTCCCCGCCCAGGGGCACCCACCTCCCACCTCCTGCTTCCTATGGGATTTAGCTGCCACCTGGCCTAGGCACCCTCTCTGCTTTGCTGACCAGAGCAGCTGGCACTAAAATTAGCCTCGTAATCCAAGCAGCTTAGAACAGCAATGGGATCAGACGACACAGGCTTCCTCCATCTTGCCCCAGGAAAATACGAGATGGCAAGATGGATGGAAAGAAAATGTTAGAGAACCCATCCCGTCCCCGCTGCAGGCACTGCCTCCCCAACCCCCTTTCAAAACCGATTTCTGGGTCGGGCATGGTGGCTCACGTCTGGAATCTCAGCACTTTGGGAGGCTGAGGTGAGCAGGTCACCTGAGGTCAGGAGTTCAAAACCAGCCTGGCCAACATGGTGAAATCCCATCTCTGCAAAAATACAAAAATTAGCTGGGCGTGATGCCGGGTGCCTGTAATCCTAGCTACTCAGAAGGCTGAGGCAAGAGAATCATTTGAACCTGGAAGGCTGAAGTTTCAGTCAGCTGAGATCGTGCCATTGCACTCTAGCCCGGGCAACAGAGCAAGACTGTCTCAAAAAAAAAGAAAAAGAAAAACAAAACAAAAGGTTTCTGAAACTTCTTTCCTAGGAAGTGTCACAACCCAACGCATGTTAGATAACGGTTTATTTTTCAAATTAAGGGTTTGTTCTGTGAGGTTCTGATCTTGCTGTGCAGTCTGCAGACCTACCACAGAACTTCTAAAACCACAACAAAACTAGGCAAATGACAAGGGTATGTGAATCCCTCTCTGAGGGGAGGTGGCCTGCAGGAAGGCCTGCTGCATCCAGATAGCGCCATCACTTTCCAAGGGAATGAGAAGTGCAAGCCTGGCCTGGGGGCTACGCTGGCTGACTTTCACCCCTGGAAAGGGCTCTCTCTCCAGGCCCACAGGAACAAGGTGGTATGGTTGAGGTTACACACGCCAGGCCTAGCACTGGCCTGTACCAAAGCTGGGAGCACAGCAGAGTTAGGGGTCACCAGCTGGTGGCGTCCCTGCACCATCACCACCACTGACATGCTGCCATGAATCCCTGCCACTGGGACCATCCATCAGTGTTTATAAAACCAGACTCAGCTGACAATGAATTTCGTATGAAGTCCTGAACTCTGGCCCTTCTCCAGGCCTGCACCCAGCCTGGCTGTGTAGTCTTCACCCAGGCACCTGAGCTCCCCGCCATCACCACTTCCAGGCAGCTCCAGCCACTCATTTGCCTACTTCAGTAGGCATCTGAGCTTAGCATCCCTGGCCTAGAGATGCAGGAATTGGCAAGAAGTTGGATTCTAGGAGCCCACCTTCATTGTGGTTTTATTTCTCTCCCAGGTAAAAACAGAAAGAAAACTTGACCTTTGTTAAAATTGAGAACCGAAATGAATCTGAATTCAGAATGTCTTAGTTTAGCCTCATTAGCATATTGGTGGAGGACTTCTGTAAATCTGAATTGAATGGTTGCCACTGGGAGATAACTTATGAAGATAGAATTTGCCATATTTCCAGCTACTGTAAATAGTTTCCCACCTCTGTTCCGCGAGGTCAGCCAAGGCTTCCTGCTCATTGACTCAGTGTCTTAGATTCACATGACTTCCAACAGCTTTGCCAGAAAACCACTTTGGCCCTAAATCCTAGGAGAGTAGAGGATAGAGGCAAAGCCAGCCAGAACAGTAAGGGGACACCCATCTTGAGGTGGGGCATTGAGGAGCTTCTGTGAGCTTGAGAGACAGGTTAGGAATTCAATAGTGACACACCAGGACCACAGGATGGGGTGCTGAGCTGATTCAATTAGACATAGAGAATTTAAGGAATGTGGTAATTCTTACCCAGGATTGTAAAATTCATACCTGCTGATGTGATATATTGTGGCAACATCGCATGCCAACTCTTAACTGGCATATAGAAGGTGACTGCCTCGTCCATTTGGGCTGCTTTAACAAAATGCCATAAACTGGGTGAGTTACAAGCAAGAGCAATTTACTGCTCACAGTTCTAGAGGTGGGGCCGCCCCAGATCGAGGCACCAGCAGCTTTGGTGTTTGGTGCCATCTTCCTAGTTGGGAGATGCAGATTTCAACTGCATTTTTCACATGGTGGAAGCAGGGAACTAGCTCTCTGTGGTTTATTTTTTATTTATGTTTTAGAAACAGGGTCTCACTCTGATGCTCAGGCTGGAATGCAGTTGGCACAATCGTAGCTCACTGCAGCCTTAAACTCCTGAGTTCAAGTAACCATCCCCCATACCCCACCCATCTCAGTCTCCTGAGTAGCTGGGACTACAGGCACACACACCACCATATTCGGCTAATTTTCATATTTTTTGGTAGAGAGGGGTGTCTCACTGTGTTGTCCAGGCTGGTCTCACTCTCCTATCCTTGAGCGATCTTCCTACCTCAACCCCCTAAAGTGCTAGGATTATGGGCATGAGCCGCTGTGCCGAACCAGGGGGCTCTCTTTTGTAAGGGCACTAATCCCAATGTCTTAAAAGCCCCACCGTCTAATCCCATTATCTTGGGGATTAGGATTTTAAATAAATTTTGGGAGACACAAACATTCAGACCATAGCAGTGGTGGAGAGAGTTGAGCAAAGCTATGATTTAATGTGTCTGCTCTCCAGAAGATACAGGAAAGCAGAAATGAAAAAGGGCTAAGAGGATTTGACTCCCCAGGAGACTCTGGGAACCCAGCCTGGTGATAATTAGGAACCGCAACATCAACAAGCTATAAACCCATCACTTCCATAAATCACTTTTGAGTTTGTCCATTTGAATGACTTTAAGCAATTTGGATCTTCATCCAATTTTTACCAAAATTAACTCTGTCTTTAAAATCAGAGTTGGAGGAAGACAGTTGTTTTTTATAACTTCAGATTTTCCTAAATGCCTATCCTGCTTGGGAATGGTATAACTAGTCAGGGTTAGTAATAATTACATGCGAGGCCATTCTATTCACATGCAATGGAAACTGTCACTTGGCCTAGCTGAGGTTCCTCGTGGATTGTGGATGGGGCAAGGTCCAGACCTCTCTGTGATTCTAACCTTGACCTCACTATCACTTGTCCTGCAACACTGGACACATCAGCTCACGTCTGCGGACCTCAAAGTCCAATATTATACAGTGAGGAGATGGTCTAGAAATCTAAAGTCCCTTCAGTTCTAAGTGTCTATCACACCTTGGCACATTTTTGCCTTTCAAAGAGATTTCACAGAAATTACAAACCAATCCATGAAGCCAGAGAAGGACAATTGTGCACAGCATTTGAGAGATCCCAAAATTCTCCCAAGAAGCTGATTTGAGATGCGGCAAGAGCCAGGCCAAAACAAGGCATCTCACTCATTCATTCATTTATTTATTCATTCATTCAACAAATGCTGTTGAACACCTACTATGTGCCTACATTTCTCTAGATACCAGCAACACTGCAGGTAAAAAACCCAGCAAAAATCCCTCACAGAGTTTACATTCTAGAGACAGGAGACAGGGTAAATAAGATACATCAGTGACAGTCTTAGTGTGCAAGATAGTGAAAGTGCTGGAGAGAAGGCAATAGGAAAGTGTCTGTGTTCACAAGCAGCAGATGCGAATTGAAATTTGAGACAGGGAGCCTATACCTGCTGCTGTCCCAGTTCCTGAACCATCTACAGTGCCACGTGATCAAACTGGGCTGAGCAGACAGGTGGCAGGCTGAAAAGGACATAAGCTCAATCTGGGGTCCTAGCGTCTTATTCTGGCACAGCTGCTCCTGAGCCTATGGTCTTAGGAACGTCCTTGACCTCTTGGAGCTTAAGGTCATCTGCAGTACAGTGGGAATTATTAAAAACAATCTGCTTCCCGGCTGCTGCATGTCAAATTTATAGTGTGGGGCCTCATGCCAAGACCCTGAGTTGCCCTTTCCTGCCTCCCCTGGGACAGCACACTGGGAGGCTCTCGTAGCTTCTCCTGCCTTCTGTGCTCGGCCTCTCGGTGTATAAATTACACTCCAACACAGCACCTAAAGAGGCTGGCAAGGCTGAGCTTTCCTTATCTTTTCTCAGCAAACAAGGGACCTCCCAGTGTCCCTGTGAGAATGGAGATGCTTCATTGGCACCTGCAGGGAGCACCCTGCCCTTTTCTAGATGTGGAAGACAATGAGCTCAGAAGGTCCAGGCTTCCTCCTCCAGACCACACTTCCCACTGCAGCTGGAGAGCATCCCCAGTGCCTCTCCAAGCCAAGCACTCAGTACCCTTTATCCAAACCACTCTCCTGTGAGGCCCTCCTACCCCTGTCCCTCTATTTCCTCCTCCTCACACCCTGACACATTTGCAGGCTCTGGACTGGTCTTTCTCCCCAGCCACTGCTCTGCTGCCTGCATTACAAAATCACCAGCATGTACTTGTCTTTGAGGCTGAGCCAGGGATGCTGAATAAATGAATGGAAATAGACCCACTCACTCAATCCCTTGCCAGGCCAGGGAGACAGGGTGAGTGAAGGAAGCTTAGTACACATGGAGCATTCCAGCTGCACGGCAGCCCCCTGGTACCCTCCACAGCCAAAGGAAGAGTACACACATATTCAGACCCAGCTTCTCACACAGAAATTATTTCCACAATATTTATTATGCACTGACAATATGCAATGCCCTGTTCTGGGTACTGGGGATGCACAGTAAACAAACCAGTCTCTACTCCCAAGGAGCTGACAGTGTGGATGCAGTAAATCAACAAAACGACAAACGTAAAGATGTTTGCAGATGGTGAGATGTGCTGTGAAGGAAGCCACAGGGACACGCTGCTGAGAGAAAGAGGTTGCAGGGCTGCTTTGCGGGGAATCTGGGAGGCCTCTCTAAGGAGCTGACCTGAGAGAAGAAGCCCCGTGGAACCACAGCAGGAGCAGCACCAACAAGAGCTGGACAGCAAATGCTGAATGAAGCCCAGGCTTGAGAAATGGCACAAGAGCTGCGGTCAGAACACGGGAGCAGACAGCAGAACAGCAGCGAGGTGGTATAGCGGAGTCCCCTCTGCCCACTGCCACCTATGGGCATCCTAAGGCCAAGCTCAGCCCGTGAAGGTAGTAGGTATAGAGGGGAGTATCAGAAACGCTGGAAGTGCTACAGCATTATCTGTAATTGACTCATTGTCGAAATGGAAAGGAAACAGCTCTTGCCTCCCGGGGCTATTGTAGGACTCGCTATAACATCTGTATTCTTCCAGTGCTTATGCTATTGCCTGGTACACAGGGAGAGTGAAATGAGTGCTTGCAATTAACATCAAGCAGGGACTTGTTCATAAAGCAGCTGGCAGGTCCTGCCGGGGTTAGGACTGTAAGTGTGAAGGACAGCCACGGGATTGGAGTCATCATCTTACTTACACTTTCAGAAGATGATCTGGTTGTGTGAGTGTGGACAATGGATGGGTACGTGGTGAGAGGCAGGAGTGGAGGGAGCAAGGACACCAGGGCAGCCAGGAGGGAGTGCTGCTGCCTGGAAGGGTGGACAGAGGAGAGCGAGAGAAGAGGAGCAGTCTGGGAGGCTGGCTGAGATCCCCATCTCTCACTCTGCCTTCTTCCCAGCCACAAGCCTGAGCTCTGCACTGGGCGCCCCATTGGAGTGCTGGACACCACACATCAAAAGACCAAAACCTGACGGTGAGGTAGAAACCAGTGCAAAAACGACACTGGCTCAGAAACTCCCCACAAAGGGCTTTCATCAGACTGACCTGTGCAATGTCAAAGAGTATGGCCTGGGCCCCACACATCCTTAGGCACAAGGCCGATGTGGGTACCTACAGCAGCTACTGACTGAAACACAGTAGATAATACATGGTACCTGGAATGCTCCCCAGCCTCACGATCTGGAAGCTGAGTTTTTGCACATGCCCTACTCTTGGAAGGTAAAAGCACATGTGTGTAGGTGGTGGGGAGGGGGTTCTATTTCCCCCATTCATATATTTACAATGTGAAGAACTATAGACCAGGTGGTGGATGGAATTACCAGTCCCAGTTCCTTACCCTCCTGTGGAGGGAATGGATGCTCACTCCCTTGCCACAGCTTCACCAAGGGCAGCCTGCACTTTTCCACTCCTCAGTTTCGGGCCTGACCCTGCCACTTGCATGGGCTGAGAGGACGCTGGCAATGTGACCCAAGCAGAGGCTTGAGGTATGCTTGTTAGACTCACCCTCTTACGTTCCTGGCATAACTGCAAGAGATGCATGCTTGCTCTGGGTAGCCCTTCAGCCAAAGAAGCAAAAGGACATGACATGATCAAATGTGAGACCTGCTGCCAAGCCCAGCCAAGCTCAGCTTAACCTGAGCCAACCCACAGACCCATGACTTTAGCTTGTCTGCCATGGAGGTCTTGTTGATAACAATAGCTGACTAGTATAGACACCATCACAGACCTTGCTGACTCAGCACTCAGGGTCTGCAGGCAGAATGCCGGCCACTTTGCACACACCGGTCATGTGACCCAGATGCCAACCTAAGACACAGTGCTATCATCTCCATTTCACAGATGAGAAAATGGGGGCTCAGCAGGTCTTTGTCCAAGGTCACAGCTAGTATGTAAAAGAGCCCAGATTCGAATCCAGGCTTTTGTGCCTCCGAAGCCCACCATGTGCACCAGAGCTGCCCCCACCCCCTGCCTGTTAGGGCCTCAACCCTGGATTTGCAAAGCCCATCGCTTTATTCATTTCCTTCAAAATACATCACTCAGGTGCATAAATTTTCAAATTATGCCTGAACTGTCCATCTATGGATGCCAAAGGCAGCAACTCCGCAGAAGACCGTGACAGCCCCCTGAAGGCAAGCCCAGGGAGCCCCCCTCTGACAAAGGCTGACTGATGCATGCAGCAGGTCACTCCACGGACACCTGCTAGCTGTGAGAAGTCATGTGCCGGGAGAGGTGGTGGCGCTCCCGGAAGTGCTCCTGGCACACAGGGCAGGCAAGGGCCTCTTCTCTCCTCTTCTGAGAATGTGGGTCAGGCCCCGCATGCTCCTTTTTGTGGTGGGACCGCATGTGGAAGACCAGATCGGACGTCAGGCGGAAGGACAAGTTGCACTTTGCACACCAGTTCTGGGTGGACAAGCCCAGGGAAGTGAGGGTGGGTGGCAGGAGGGCCCACGAAATGGTGGAGGATGATGAAGGTGGGGGCACCTGGGCCCGGGTGTGCTTGAGCCACAGTGTGGGGTCACCCAGGAAAGCGCTGTAGAGTGGAGCATTCTGTGGCAATGCTTGCAAGTTCCAGAAATCACCAACCAAAAGCTTGGGAGTTGAAAGTCGACCCCAACAAGGGAGGTCTGTGGTGTTGAAGAGTCCAGACAGCTCCCCCAGGGTGCCTGCAGACTCCCCTGCAGGGAAGACTGGGGTTGGTGCCGGCCTCTCTGCTGGTCTCTTGGTTGGTTTGCTGAAGGCACTTCTCTGCTCACCTCGTGCTCTGCTGGGCCACACAGAGAAGACTGTGCTGCCAGCTGGGTCTCTGGGGATAGCCTGGGCCAGGTGCAGAGCGCCAGGCTGGCCTGCAGGGTCATCATGATCCCTCTCCTGGGCCTGAGCATCCCCGCACTGGTCCTTCATCCTTGGCAGCTCTGTGAAGGCGCTCTGCCTCTGCTCCCCAAGTGCCTTCGGGGACAGCGGCTGGCCGGATCGGGGCCTGCCTGGGACTGCTAACAGTGCCGGCTCTGCACTGCCCACATCCCGGCCCGCCCTGCTCACAGCAGCCTCAGGGCCCAGGCGGTTCGTCTTCTCCAGCAGCACTGGCTTGTGGCCCCGGCCCAACTCAGGGTCACTAAATTGCCACCTGTTTTCAGCCAATGGGCTCAATGGGGCCCCCTTCCCTGCCATAGTGATCAGCAGGGCCAGGGCCACGGGACGAGCAAGGTAGCTGCTCTGACAGCCATCAGTCTTCAGGAGTTTTGGGTTCTGGAGGGCTTGGTCCAACAAGGAACCATGAGATGGGAGAACTCCCTGTGACACTGGACACACGGCTACGGGGCCCTGTGGAGAGAGGAAGCAACAAGCAGTGAGACAGGCATTTGGCAGTCAGGCACAGTGCACCATGAGCTGACGTCAGACAGGACCCTGATGCTCAGGCCTCCTCCACTGTCTGTAGGATGGGTGTGCTGACTGCACCGTCCTTCAGGGCCCACCTCCCAGAGGCAGAGTGAAGACAGGGGTCTCTGCTGAAAATGCCCACGGGCAGCTTCCCCTATAGCCCAGTAGAGAGAAACATAGGATTCTCCTGGCAGAAGTAGTTCCTGGGCATTAACCAGGCATGAAACAGAGCATCTAGAGAAGGGAAAGAGCCTTCTCTGGGGGCTGCATTAGGGACTTGGGGACCCTCCAGAAGTTTCTGGGTCATCTGTCAACAAGTAGACTCCTTCATGTGGAAGCCCCTGTTCCATGCTTGAGCTCCCTGTGGCCCTGGCCAAGCGTTGAGGACACAGGGAGGTGGCAGCATCAGGGTCACAGTGTTGGAGGACCATGGACTTCATGGTCTTTGCTCCTCACACAGCCCTCTCTGTCCTGGCCCTAACGTCAACCCATCACTCCTCGGGCTACCAGACCTGCCTCCTGGCACGGCAGCCCCTTTGTCCACATCACAGTCCCTGTCAGCTTCTGCTTTCTCGGGGCCACTCTTCTTGTTTGTGAGAGCCATGTGTCCCCACTCTTCTCCCCACACCCAAGGACATGTGAACAGCGTCATTCCCATTGGACCTGTGAACTCATTCCAAAATGCAGCTCAGGCACAGCCTCCCCTTGAGGCTTCCCCAGTGCTCTCAGACACAGACAACTCTCCCTCCTCCATACCACCACTGTCCCAGGCACCAAAAGCCTGCATGCACCACATGCAACATTATATTTACTCGTTTGTGGTCTGCTAGAAGGCAAACTCTAAGAACCCAAATATGTCAATTCACCTTCACATCTGCAGCATTTAGTCATGCCTGCAACAGGACAGGAGCTCAGGAAGCCTTTGCTGAATGAATGAATGAATGAGGGACAGGACGGCAACTGTTAAAAAGAAGTCAACTTTATTTTCCCAAAGAGTGTGGCCCATGCCCTGCTCCTGCACAGAGAGGAGAATGTGAGCCCCGCCATGCTCTCACAGGGCCAAGGGAGGAGACAGCCGCATGGTGAGAAGGGGAGGAGCCGACCGCAGCCTGCCTCGAAGCTTCTCTGCCTCCTGCTCCTACCCTGTGCTCCTCAGCGGGCACTTGGCCCCTGCCCAGTCCACAGCTCAGGAGCAGCTGGGGAAACTGCTAGCTGCGGCAAAAGGGCATGCTTTACTTTCCAACTCTGATGTAAGATCAAACCCTGAAGCCCCACAAAGGGCATCCAGAGTCTCCCATTCCTTCATCTCCCCTTGGCCCTAGTTCCAACCCCAGTGAGAACCCACCCAGTTTTTCTTTAGGGAAATAGCCCACCAGCCATAGGAACTCACTATGAATACAGCTGATTGGCCTATGGGTGCTGAGAGTCACCTTAAGGGTGGGAGTCACGGAGGGCCCGGAACTCTTAAAGTACCCTGCCTCAGGTGCTGAACTAACAACAGTCTGACCACGGCTGGAAGAGGCAGCCTGAGGGGTCAGATCTGCCTAACAGGAGAAGGAAATGAAGTATGGTTTATAGTGGCGAAAGCAACACGCAAGTAGATGCGTAACTCCAGAGACATGGCGAACAAAGCAGGATGCAGACGCGCGACGAGGCACAGTACAGTGCTGCTTGCTATGCTTATGATTGAACGCTGAGGAGGCAAAAGGACAACAAGATTATAGATTTGGTGTTGCCTATTCTATGCACACACATGCAAGATGCATACATCAAAGGAAAAACCCCGGGAGGAAGCAAGAACACGACCCCAGGTCATTTTTTCGTGATTCCCCCTTCCATTCATTCAGTGAGCACGCGCTGAGAGCATCCAGCATGTGGGCCCTGTGCGAGGTGCTGTGGTGACAGTGGTGACAAGGCAGTCCTGAGTTCGGCTGTACAGAGCACAGGGACCTGCACATGTACCAGTGTTGCAAATGGCAATGAGCCCTGAAGACCCAGAGGGGCTGCCCAGGATTCACAAAAAGCTTGCATGGGGCCTATGGTGTGGAGAACCTGAGGGCTCTCTGGGGAACTGAGCCTAAGGCAGTTCTGCAGTGGGCAAGTGCCTGGGGAGGAGCGAGACCCAGAAGCCGGAATAAAATGGACCTGACTGTTTTCAGAAATAAATGATTCATTTTTTAAGTGTGGCCATAAAGACTATGTAATAGTATGGGGGGAAAAAGCTTATAATACAATGATAGTGTTCAATGTAAATATGTTATAAAACAAAACAGGAAAACAAGTCTGTCTACCAAATCAACAAAAACATGAAAGAAAATATACCAAAGCAACATATATGTGAAAAATAATTTAGACTATGTACATGTACTATATATAATATACAGTATACACAGCATGTGCACATAATATACCATATAATACGCTGTATATGTGCTATACTATATACCATGATGATGCTAGTATGATGGAATTGGGGGGATTTCTCCCAACTTTCCAGCATTTTCAAACTATTCTGATTTTATTTTAGCATGTTGTTTTGCTCAGCAGTCAATTGTTTTAAAGGGGGCAGTGCCCTTTTCTGCTTGGTCAGAGTCAGAATTCTGTAAGGGATTCTCACAGTGAAGACTCTGTGACTTCAGGGATGCTACTTTCCTAACCACTCCGGGAAATAATTCTGAGCTGAATTCCTCCCACTGTCTACTCTCCCTCAGAAAAGAGGAGTCCTAGCCCCCATGCTGGAGTGCTCCGGCTGGAGTCTCCTGGGAGTGGAGGGGCCTGTCCAGTGGGTGGGCTATTTCTCATGGGGGCTTCATGGTCTGTTTTACGCCACCTAGAGAGACCTCACCTCTGCCAAGCCTGGAATTGAGCATTCCCCAGGCCACAGGAACAAAAGGAGATCTTTGGGAGAAGGGTGAAATGCCTGGGCACTCAGATCAGATCAGATCAGATCAGCTTTTAGGCAAAGTGCATTTCATTTCCTGTTCATTCATTCAATCAATAAACATGCACAAAGCACCTACTATGTGCCAGGCTCCAGTCTACATAAGACTGGTGACTCTCACACTGATTGAACTCTAAGTAGTTGGAAACAGCTGGAGGTAGGATGACTGTGCAGTGTGGCCTACAGTGTGGCCTGGAGGATGCATGTGGAATTCAGAGCAGGAAGATCCCCTAAGGAGGCCTAGAGAAAACACCAGGGAGGGACACAGTCCTGAAATAGCAGCCCTGGTCCTGCCTGTGCTTGGATGCAGGAAGAGAACATGGTAATGAAATGTGGGGACAAAGGGCACCCCTGGGCAACTGGCTGAGAACAGAGCCAGTGATGCTCAGGGGAGGGACACCCTCCTGTCAGCCCTCCCCACCCACCCCTGCCATGTGCCAGCCTGTCACCAGTAACATGTGGTGAGGTCTTTGCTAGAAGCTCAAGGCTCCTCTGCTTTCTGAGCATGGGGAAGACAGAGCCCAATGTGAAGCATCAGTCAAGGAAAAGAAATAAAGAGGAGAAAATGCATAAAGATTCCTAGCTCTAAACCTTCTATCCCCATCTTGCCCCAAACTCCTCCAGCGCTCTGTCATGAAAATTTCAGAAACTTCATGAGAAAACTTTGCAAATGAAGTCAGAGGTCACAAGCAGGGGAAAGTCCTGGTCTCAGACTGGGCCAAATAAGGAAAAATATTAAAAACATTAGGAAAGCAGCGACCTTGCCCACAGGACGCCTGCCGCAGTGAGCTGCCACGCGCCTGTCCTGAGTGAGAGGTGGACACACTCGCCGGGCAGCCGCCATCTGGGGGTTTAGCCTCACGTGTGTCCAGGGCTCTTGATGGAGGAGAGGGATAGGCAGAGACTGCTTCATCCCCACTGGAATTAGGCACCTCTTGCCTGGTGTTGACACAAATGTGAGGAAGGAGGAGGCCACACATATGGCAGACTGAGCTCCGTGGCTTGCTCTGCCTTGGCGTGTCATGGGGCCACTGATCCCCACCACACCAGATTTTCCCAACCCCAGCAAGCATGCAGAACTCAGCCACCTTCACACCATCTCAAAAAGAAAGCCTCTATTGCTTGGCAAAGAAGAAATTAGGTCCACGCATGTGGCAAAAGTTAGACACAGTGAGCGTTGCTGGTTTTTTTCTGTTTTCCTACCTCGGCAACGTTATTAAAAGAAAATTCAAAATAGCAATTACAACAAAAATGTTCCCGTTATCCTTCAGAGAGCACAATACTGTGTTTGCTTTACTCTAATGGCTATTGCATCTACTTCCAAGCTTTAGACTATTAATAATACACAGAAATACCAAGAAGAAAAATAAAACAGGCACAAAAAGTAGAATGGGAAAGACATGGGTTCAAATGTCACATCCACAGATTTATTATGGAGCTTCAGGTGTGTAATGTAACTTCTCTGAATACTGGGCAATCGTGTAAATGAGTGGGAAAATAATGCATTTAAAAGGATAAAAATATCCGGAAGGAGGCTCCCACCTCGCCCAGCCCATGTCAGTGCCTCAGGAATGTTCATTTCTTTCTTTGTGGCCAAGGGACAGGAACAAAATGAAGGACATGGAGAGGTAAACAAAAGAATCGATGACTGCACAGAAGCTGCTGAGGCATCTTCTCCAAGCTCACCAGGAAGAGAGGCAAAGTCTTCCATAGAAGACTTTGCAAGATGGGGCATCACCCTCATGACTAAAATACCTGCATTCTCAAAGATACAAAATGTGCCACTTTCTTAACTGAATAAATGCAAGGAGGGTGGTGAGGAAGGACAGCCCAGAGGCCTTGCCCAGTGCACCCTGAGAAAACAGCAAGCGTTCTGCTCTCAGGCGCTCCACCCACCTACACTGTTATTCTCATGCCTTCACCAGATGTCAAAACGTGCTGCCAAATCAAACCTAGATGTAAGACAAAGCAAAATAACAAGGAAAGCTTGCTGACTGAGACT